CGGAAGTTCATTCGCATCATTTTCAAAACAAAAATTGCAATTTCTTCCATTGTAAAGTCGCACGGAACAAATCATTCCTCACAAACTTTGCTCGTTAGAAAGAATAAGTCAGGAAACTTATGACAGTGACTTTTTTGGATTTTATTGCAAGTTTTGTTTGAATGGGCTTGCCTCAAATTGCAGAACCTGAGATGATCCTCCTTCTCCATTTTCATCTTTGCAGCCAAATAGTAAAGAGCAAGCAAGGTACTCTTAGTTTCACTCTTCCTGATAGTGTTTTTGCTGTGCAAGGTCATCCTGAAGGGAAGGGGTTACGATTTTTGAAAACGGTGCGAACTAATATTTAATACTTACTTTGCTTGTTTTGTCAATCATGTCATTTCCACTACGAAAGTTATTTACGGACCCAGTATGATTTACCTAGATTCTAGTTTTTGAGTTTGTATGACGGCCTTGCTCCAGTCAATCGCTTCTTTCGCAGTCGACCGTAAATACGACCGCTATGAATTTTGAACCAAGCCAAGGAGAAGGGGGCACCCTTAAGTTGTGAAAAGAGTTATTTGTTGCGAATACAGCAAAGGTTTGCTTGGACTATCGAGCTTGTCCCGATTTTTGAACAAATCTAGAAAGAAGTGTTCTACTCATGAATCTCCACTCTCTAGGTAATCTACCGTACTGTCCTTCACCTTCCGACCCCGACGACCACGTTTACTGTTGCCAGTTCTTCACCTTCAATGGCGACACATACCCAAGCTGCTGCCGATTCCCTATGTATACAGGACTCGTCTACACTCTCATTATATCCGCAGTAGTACTGTTTTTACGTGAGTAATATTGAAAAGAGTTGTGCATTCACTATACTCTTTAATTTCAGTACTCTTGTTTTTGTATTGCTGGTTCTGGCCGACTAGTCTACTGAACGAGAGGAGGATGAGGCAGAAACGCATTAATCGGCCAAATGGTTTCTCTAGAGTAAATGACTCGTCATTGTAGCCACATACCAACACTCCTTTTTTCTTGTTCATGTTTTTTTTTTGTTTGTGCAACTTACGGATTATGTATCCAATGTATTCCGTATCTCACCTCATGTGCTTTGCATGATATGACATACAGATGTATGACGATATAAAGCGTCTAGATCTGCCAAGTTTGCTTGAATGGCCGTTTTGGGCACTGTTATTCGGTTGAGATGTTTCTGAACTAATTTGTGATATTTCGTGAAATGTGTCCACACATGCATCTCTGATATAAAACAAGTAACTCTCTGTCTGATTTCGCGCACTAAGCGAAGATGACAA